TGGCCAGCGGGGTGGCCAGTGGGGTGGCCAGCGGGTGGCCAGCGGGGTGGCCAGCGGGGTGGCCAGCGGGGTGGCCAGTGGGGTGGCTAGTGGGGTGGCCAGCGGGGTGGCCAGCGGGATGGCTAGTGGGGTGGCCAGTGGGGTGGCCAGTGGGTGGCCAGCGGGGTGGCTAGTGGGGTGGCTAGTGGGGTGGCCAGTGGGGTGGCCAGTGGGGTGGCTAGAGGGGTGGCCAGTAGAGTGGCCAGTGGGGTGGCCAGCGGGGTGGCCAGTGGGGTGGCCAGTGGGGTGGCCAGTGGGGTGGCCAGCGGGGTGGCCAGCGGGGTGGCTAGTGGGGTGGCCAGCGGGGTGGCCAGCGGGATGGCTAGTGGGGTGGCCAGTGGGGTGGCCAGCGGGTGGCCAGTGGGGTGGCTAGTGGGGTGGCTAGTGGGGTGGCCAGTGGGGTGGCCAGTGGGGTGGCCAGCGGGGTGGCCAGCGGGTGGCCAGCGGGGTGGCCAGCGGGTGGCCAGTAGAGTGGCCAGTGGGGTGGCTAGTGGGGTGGCCAGTGGGGTGGCCAGCGGGGTGGCCAGCGGGTGGCCAGTAGAGTGGCCAGTGGGGTGGCCAGCGGGGTGGCCAGCGGGGTGGCCAGCGGTTGGCCAGTGGGGTGGCCAGTGGGGTGGCCGGCGGGGTGGCCAGCGGGGTGGCCAGCAGAGTGGCCAGCGGGGTGGCCGGCGGGGTGGCCAGCGGGGTGGCTAGTGGGGTGGCCAGTGGGGTGGCCAGCGGGTGGCCAGTGGGGTGGCTAGTGGGGTGGCTAGTGGGGTGGCCAGTGGGGTGGCCAGCGGTTGGCCAGCAGAGTGGCCAGCGGGGTGGCCGGCGGGGTGGCCAGCGGGGTGGCTAGTGGGGTGGCTAGTGGGGTGGCCAGTGGGGTGGCCAGCGGGTGGCCAGTGGGGTGGCTAGTGGGGTGGCTAGTGGGGTGGCCAGTGGGGTGGCCAGTGGGGTGGCCAGTAGAGTGGCCAGCGGGTGGCCAGTGGGGTGGCTAGTGGGGTGGCTAGTGGGGTGGCCAGTGGGGTGGCAAGCGGGGTGGCCAGCGGGGTGGCCAGCGGGTGGCCAGTAGAGTGGCCAGTGGGGTGGCTAGTGGGGTGGCCAGTGGGGTGGCCAGCGGGGTGGTCAGCGGGGTGGCCAGCGGGTGGCTAGTGGGGTGGCTAGTGGGGTGGCCAGTAGAGTGGCCAGTGGGGTGGCCAGCAGAGTGGCCAGCGGGGTGGCCAGCGGGGTGGCTAGTGGGGTGGCTAGTGGGGTGGCCAGTGGGGTGGCCAGCGGGGTGGCCAGCGGGGTGGCCAGCGGGTGGCCAGTAGAGTGGCCAGTGGGGTGGCTAGTGGGGTGGCCAGTGGGGTGGCCAGCGGGGTGGTCAGCGGGGTGGCCAGCGGGTGGCTAGTGGGGTGGCTAGTGGGGTGGCCAGTAGAGTGGCCAGTGGGGTGGCCAGCAGAGTGGCCAGCGGGGTGGCCAGCGGGGTGGCTAGTGGGGTGGCTAGTGGGGTGGCCAGTGGGGTGGCCAGCGGGGTGGCCAGCGGGTGGCCAGTAGAGTGGCCAGTGGGGTGGCCAGCAGAGTGGCCAGCGAGGTGGCCAGCGGGGTGGCTAGTGGGGTGGCCAGCGGGGTGGTCAGCGGGTGGCCAGTAGAGTGGCCAGTGGGGTGGCCAGCAGAGTGGCCAGCGGGGTGGCTAGTGGGGTGGCTAGTGGGGTGGCCAGCGGGGTGGCCAGCAGGGTGGCCAGCGGGTGGCCAGCAGAGTGGCCAGCGGGGTGGCCAGCGGGGTGGCTAGTGGGGTGGCCAGCGGGGTGGCTAGCGGGTGGCCAGTAGAGTGGCCAGTGGGGTGGCCAGCAGAGTGGCCAGAGGGGTGGCTAGTGGGGTGGCCAGCGGGGTGGCCAGCAGGGTGGCCAGCGGGTGGCCGGTAGAGTGGCCAGTGGGGTGGCCAGCAGAGTGGCCAGCGCGGTGGCCAGCGGGGTGGCCAGTGGGGTGGCCGGCGGGGTGGCTAGTGGGGTGGCCAGCGGGGTGGCAAGCGGGGTGGCCAGCGGGGTGCGCCAGCAGGGTGGCAAGCAGGGTGGCCAGTGGGGTGGCCGGCGGGGGTGGCCAGCAGAGTGGCCAAGTGGGGTGGCCGGCGGGGTGGCCAGCGGGGTGGCCAGTGGGGTGGCCGGCGGGAGGGTGGCTAGTGGGGTGGCCAGTGGGGTGGCCAGCGGGGTGGCAAGCAGGGTGGCCAGTGGGGTGGCCAGCGGGGGTGGCCAGCGGGGTGGCTAGTGGGGTGGCTAGTGCGGTGGCCAGTGGGGTGGCCAGCGGGGTGGCCAGCAGAGTGGCCAGTGGGGTGGCTAGTGGGGTGGCCAGCGGGTGGCCAGCAGAGTGGCCAGTGGGGTGGCCAGCGGGGTGGCAAGCAGAGTGGCCAGTGGGGTGGCTAGTGGGGTGGCCAGCGGGTGGCCAGCAGAGTGGCCAGTGGGGTGGCTAGTGGGGTGGCCAGCGGGTGGCCAGCAGGGTGGCCAGTGGGGTGGCCGGCGTGGTGGCCAGCAGAGTGGCCAGTGGGGTGGCTAGTGGGGTGGCCAGTAGAGTGGCCAGTGGGGTGGCCGGTGGGGTGGCCAGCGGGGTGGCTAGTGGGGTGGCCAGTAGAGTGGCCAGTGGGGTGGCCAGTGGGGTGGCCAGTGGGGTGGCCAGTAGAGTGGCCAGTGGGGTGGCCAGCGGGGTGGCCAGCGGGGTGGCTAGTGGGGTGGCCAGTAGAGTGGCCAGTGGGGTGGCCAGCGGGGTGGCCAGCGGGGTGGCTAGTGGGGTGGCCAGTAGAGTGGCCAGTGGGGTGGCCAGCGGGGTGGCCAGTGGGGTGGCCAGTAGAGTGGCCAGCGGGGTGGCCAGTGGGGTGGCCAGTAGAGTGGCCAGTGGGGTGGCCAGCGGGGTGGCCAGTAGAGTGGCCAGTGGGGTGGCCAGTGGAGTGGCCAGTGGGGTGACCAGGGCATTAAACATCCCTGGCTCTGCAGTGGTCGACCCTCATCTCCGGCGTGTTCTGAACGACTTCATGCTTTAGTTCCAGGAAAACGTTATAAAATATAATGTAACTGTCACGGTCTTTGTTCAGTTTCAGTTTTCTTTTAAGTTTTCAGTTTCACTTTGATCCATGTTTTTTTTTTTTTTTTTTCTTGGTTAAATTCGCATTTTGTTGTGTTTTCTGGATATATTTGAGTTCTTAGGTATTTCTTGGTTGCCCTCTGCTGGCCTCTTGTGTTGGTCTCATTTTCCCTAGCTCCCTTCTAGAATCATCTGTTCACACCTGCTCCCAATCAGCTCTTTAGTCCAGACTTTTTTCAGTCTCCCGTATATATTCTCCCTGTGCAGTTCCTCACCCCAGGTTTGCTTTCCCTGATGTCTCCAAATTTCTGGCTTTTCTGTATTTGTTATGTTAGATTTTTGGTTTCCTGCCTCAGTTGCCTGTGAGTACTTCATTAAATCTATCAAAATCACCTCTGCATCATTTGGGTCCTCAAGATCCTCCACCAATCGTGAAAGTAACAGTCGCAATTGTGTAGTGTCTCTAAAGTCGTAGGGAAGCGGCCGTTCCAACCGTTGCATTTCCGAATTCTCCTGAGTGGTGCCCGACTTTACACAAGTGAATAAAGTGAATGTGATTGATCGTTTGTCAAGAAGGCAGGATTGTTGTGGCGGAAGGTTCACAAGCAAGTTTGTTTGTGGCCGGTTTGTGGGAAGCATCTTGCTAACCAGTTAGCTGCTTAGTGCTAGCAGGTTCCCAATGGGAAATTCCATTGGGACCAAGTAGCACTAAATTGGTGACTTAGAAACGACGCTGTCAAGGAACGCTATGGACAGCGGAAACATGCAAGAGGAGGAGAGTTTAGTGTCGGAGGTCGTGGATGAGTCTCCTCCGTCATCCATTTTTTATTTAGAGGAGGAAAGCGGGGACGAAGATGTTGTGGAAGAGGACGCCAGGGCGGCAGAAGCTTGGTTTGGTGTAGAAGGCTTCCAGCCGTACATGTTTGAGCCCTTGCCTCGCAACGCTGCCAGTTCTGTTAGCTCTACGCCTGCCGAAGACACAGACGTCCATCCCCGTGAACACTGGGACGCAACTCAATGGGAAAGGAAAGGATTCTGGTTTCAACCGTTGCGTATATTAGCTGCGACATATGAATCAAGATGCTATGACCGAAAACATTTGATTGACAGATGACCGTTGATATATGATTGGCCGAATTTAGGTGTTCAGGCTGACGTAGAACTAACTGGCCTGCAGAAGATAACGGAAAAAACACAGATTTTAAGACAAGATTGAAAAAAAAAAAAATTAGACATTTTCTAAATCTTGGGGCAATATGGTCTGATAAAGAGTAAATTTATATGAACACAGATTTACCTTCACAGCCTCAGAAGGGAAAGATTTATGGACAAAAAGTAAACCTGGACATGAAATGATGTTTTGTTTTTATAAAGTATTTTTATAATAATTTTTGTTGCTGGTATTCATAAAAATATCCTGGTGTGATAACTTAGTATACGTTTGGGTGGTTTTTGGCCGCCACTGCTGCTGACATTTAAAAACCTGACACGTCAACAAAGACACTCAAACAGCTCCTAAAGGTACTCAGACTTTTAAAATGATCAAATCTAAATTCTAAAACAAGAGTTCAAACATTGTGTGTCTTCCTCATCTTATTTTATTCTTTACACTGTTTATATGGGAAGGTTCTAATTAGACTTTATTTTATTCTGTCTTATTATATTTCATTCTTCTTACAATCTTATTTTTCTTTCTTCTGTAAACAGTTGCAAATAATTTCCTGCAAGGGATTAATCAAGTAATTCTGATTTTCTGATTTACAAACACACTAAAAGAAAAGACAAACACAGTTAAATACTTATAGAAGGTGCAGTTAAATTGTATTTCACAGGAGGCTAATGTCTTTACCAGAGTGAAAATAGGTCTATATTTGTCAGATTGAAGGCTGTGAAGTAGATAGACAGACAGAAGGAGCTTTTCTTAAACCAACCTGTTTGTTTGGCATCTCTGCTCCATGCTGTACGCTCCAGTGAACCATACTGATGAGCAGATCCTTGCTTCTTCTCCATCGGTGCTGCAGCTGCTCTCCGGCCGTAGAGGCAGGCTGGCAGCACAGATAACTGGAGGGGAGGGTCTTACAGGCGGGTTGTTGATGTATTTCTGAGTCATCAGCAGTCAGTCATGGATGCACCGAGGCAAAGACAGCCAGATGTTCCAGAGGTTCCCACCAGCAGGTAGTGTGGATGTGTTACACGGCACCATCTGGTGACATCTACGCGTAATTACACCATCCAACATTCCAAGATAAATAAAACATATGTTTCTCTTCCCATCTACAAAGCTTTTTCATTTCAAAATTTTGAATTTTAAAGTTATTTCTGACATTTTGAACTGATATAGCTTCCTGGATGGGAAGAGAAATTTCTTCAAACTTGGAAACAAAGTCCACTGGATTGTTTTTTCTTTACTTTTTTTCAGCAGCATACACCATCCAACAGTTTGCACATAAATAAAAACACATAAAACAGCAACTTTTCTACAAAAACAAATCATTTATTTATTATACATCGACATTCCCATCCTTTATTTATAACAAGGAAAACATAATGTGCAAAATACATCATGAATTTGAAACCCATGATTTTTCCCCCTGCTGAGCCGACACACACACACACACACACACACACACACACACACACACACACACACACACACACACACACACACACACACACACACACACACACACACACACACAGACACACACCTGATCACACATCGTCACTCCACCTTCTGAGGCCTTCAAATACACAAATCACATCTACTTGATTTTATCCAGTTAAAACAGAGACATAAAGGGACAGTTCAGCATTTTTAAAGTGAGGTTCTGTAAGAAAACTATCAGCATTTAACATTTTACCGGCCACATAAGCCTTGGCGTCTATCTCTGACGCTGAGAGGAACCAAGACCAAAGCCGACTTTTACTGTCTCACAACAGCAGTTTATTCAAACACTTTAATAAACCTTTAAACCAGGCATCCCCAAAGTCGGTCCTGCAGGGATGCTCTCCTGCTCCAGCACAGCTGATTTCCATTGATTGCTGATTAACAGGCTTTTGCTGAACTGCAATCATCAGAATCAGCTGTGCTAAAGCAGAGAAACCTCTAAAACCTGCAAGACAGCAGATGCTGATGATTATTGAAGGATGAAGGAGCTTAAAAATGATCCTCCTACACTGAGAATAAACCCCTTAAAGTGCTTCAAAGTACAGCAGAGTAGGACTCCATGAAAAAGCGTGATGCTGCCATTAATCCTTGGATCTTGTATCAGGCAGAGCCTGAGGAAAAACGACTCGCATGTTCGCTGTAGGTATCAGATCTGCTCTTGGCCTCGCCCCTTTAATGATGTCAACATATGGCTACTCCACTCAGACAAAAAGCATTGCACATGTTTCTTAAGGATCAAATCTCTTCTGAAGTCTCAACATATTATTACCTATATTTGCTATTATTTTAAATTTCACTGGCGATCTAAAGTAGCCGAAAGTAGAAAACAATCATTGCCAGTCTTGAAGGAAAGTACTGCGTTCTAAGACAGACTGAGCTCTGCTATTTAACAAGATGACAAAAAAAGTCTCAGTTTATTTAATTCTTTTTATTAAAGTTGTAGGGAAATCATATTTAAATGTCAAATCATTCTGTCTTAAACATGCATATACATATACTTTTTATCAGACCATATTGTCCCAAAATTCAGGAAATATCTATTTTACTAAACTCTCCTCCTCTTGCATGTTTCCGCTGTCCATAGCATTCCTTGACAGCGTCGTTTCTAAGTCACCAATTTAGTGCTACTTGGTCCCAATGGAATTTCCCATTGGGAACCTACTAGCGCTAAGTTGCTAACTGGTTAGCAAGATGCTTCCAACAAACTGGCCACAACCAAACTTACATGTTAACCTTCACCACAATAATCCCGCCCCCTTGATAATCGACCAATCACATTCACTTTATTCACTTGTGTAAAGTTGTGCACCAATCAGGAGAATTCGGGAATGCGACAGTTGGAGCCGCCGCTTCCCTACGACTTTAAGATCTGAGGGCAGAGGAGGACAGATGGAACATCTCACTACTACTCAAAACCCTACTTCTTGTAGAAAGGAAAGGTCGTTGTTGACACGAATTTAAAAGTAGTGATGCTTAATATGGATAACTGACTGTGCTAACAGGTTAGCCTGTTAGCACAGCTAGCCACAGCGCTAGACAGCTCTCCCCCTTTATATCATGGTCTAACAGTTACTTTGTTCACCAGAAACAGATTCTTTTCAGTTTTGTTATTGATCAGGTAAAACATGCTAACGGACGCTGCGTGATGTCATTGTCGTTGTCTGGGCAACCACAATGTTTTCCTGTGGCAACGTTCAGCCAATCATGTAGCGTAACGTCATTGACATAAAGCAGGACCACAGCAGATCTGGTAGCTACAGCGGTTCTCAGTACGTCAGGATGGTTGCTGATGCTGCACCGCTTCATACTTCATTTCCTGTCTCAATAATCATCAGCTTCTGGGCAAAAAAAAAACAACTGGTGACGTGGCAGGAAGTCCGTTTCAGGCTAATCCTCCTTTGGCCTAGCTTTAGCACTCCTGCTAATACCAGGACTGTTATTTAAAGCAGGTGACAAACATACAGCTTCTACCGAACTAGAAGTCGTTTCAGATCACAGTCATCCCTCTTTAAGCTGCAGGACAACAAACGGTGATCGAACATTAATAAGATACTTCACAGTAATTACAGTCTGTTTAAATGCTCCTTTAGTGCAATACAATCATTTCAATTCTAATATTCACCACTAATGTAAAGTCTTCCACTGGGAGATGTTCACTTGTTCCAAGATGTCTGCCTTGTGTGCGACTCCAACACGCCGTCCCTGTGGGTAGTGCACGGTGCATTGGGAGAGGTTAGGTCGGAGGTCGATCAGCACCTTTTGATTGTGTCTTTGATCAGCATCACACCTCAATTCTGTCCTGAGTAACTCCTGATGCAGCTCATGGTTTTAATCTCAATATCTTATGAGATCTTACAACCAAAGCAGAATGTCAGTCATTTTCCATGATTAAAGCTTCCTTCATGCAAAAGATGAGGTGGATGCAGATGTCTGAGTGTAGCAGAGATGAGATAAGAGCAGTGAGGGCAATATTCCAGCATGGCGGCGGCCAAGTGAGGGGGCTTAACTGTTGTGTATGTGTGTGTGTCGCTGAGGGAGTCTAAAGGTAGTGTGGATACAGAATCAACATAAGCGTCGAGATCAGGTCTTAAAAACTTCAAAATTACACAATGCTGTTATGAATCAGGTTCCTTACAGATTTGGGAGAAGAAAAAAAACGCTGATCAATCAAAAGATAAAGAACTGACAAGTTAATTTTAACCTGGCAGCCACACTTGTAACCTAATTGCCACAATACTAAACTGGCGGCCACCCCCCTTAACTGGTGGACAACCCTCTAACCTGGCGGCCACACCTCTAACCTGGCGGCCACACCTCTAACCTGGCAGCCACACCTTTAACATGGCAGCCACACTTGTAACCTAATTGCCACACTTCTAAACTGGCGGCCACCCCCCTTAACTGGTGGCCACACCTCTAACCTGGTGGCCACACCTTTAACTGGCTCAGAGCCTTCTTCATTTTCTCTACAGGTAGTATTTGTTTAAACATAATGAACCTCTGTGATGATCAAAGAATACACATCAGGCTATTTAGGAGGAGCATGATGCTAATCAAGCGCTATCCCATCCTGCAGCACACTTTCTAACACTGCCAAATCAGCAGACAGTTTAATCATAGTATTGAATGTGTTCCTTAGAAACGGTCAGTAAACAGTCAGTCAGAGCAGAGGGACAGATGCAGACAACTTTTGATTAAAGAGCAGCTCATTGGTCTGTAAGGTTGCCTTTTGTCCAGGTAGACGACCGTCACTTCCACTCAGAAAACAGAGTGAGGTTAGCCTTATTTACTGACGAAGTGTTGGCCGACTTTCACTCATTAGTTGATGATGCCAGCGAATGTGTTGATGGGCAAAGGAAGCGCTTTGCTCATGTATTTGCTCAGTCCGGCGTCTTTTTCTGCGTCCAAGCAAAATTTGGACCTCATGGTTTTCTGGACGCAGTATCCTGGATCCAGACAAGGAGAGATTTCGATGCTACAATCAAAAGGTTAAGAAAAGCTGATCAATCTTCCCTGTTTCCAGATGTCACAGGTATTGAAAACGCTTTCAGGTTATTTTGCATCAGACATTATTTGTAACACACGTAGAAACACAAGCACCTCTGCAGTGTAAAGGAGGTGAAACTGTTACCTTTGCACATGTTTGTAAGTCCTCCGCTTGTCTCTGTCCAGCGTGAGAATGAAGGATCGCCGCTCTAAGGAACGGATCTTAATGTTGCTGGCCCGAATTTTGGATTCCTGTCAATGAAATTGGATTCAGTTTATTTATATATCGATATTTACAACAATTCATCTCAAAGAACTTAACAGACAATTCAAACCAGCTGTTTGCATCGACACATTGCTTGAAAACAATCCCTCACAAACAAAACCAAACACAGATTAGGTTCTTGACATATGTGGAGTAAAAAATGTTGATTTATTTTTGTTCTTAGCCTCACAGGCTCCAAACGAAGGTCATGAGAGAGAAGAATGAGTTCATATCGCCTCCTTCATGCAGCAGAGGACTGGAGGAGATGCATCTGGCCAGTGAAAGATAGATTGACCTAACAAGTTGATTTTCCTCCAATGTTTGTGTGTGCGAAAGTTCTTTATGTAGGGGTGGGATAGTTCCAAGTGAGAGTGTTTGAATTGGGAGTTGTATAAATGTATGTGCTGAAGCTTTCCCCAGTCAGAGCTCTATCTCGTCTGAGGATGTTAAATAAATCTGTGTTTTTGCAGAAATTGCCTCTCAAGCTTCAATACTCTACACATGCTTTGTAAAAGTATTCAAGTATCTGCATCTTGGCACTCAGCTGTGATTGATAGTCAGACAGACCAATCTTTGCTGTGTTTACGGCGTATTTTTCTGGAAATGAGGTGAAAGAGTCTGTTTTCAAAGGCGGGACTAAGAGTCAGCAGAAACTGTTTAAAATAAATTTGGATGTGATGAACAAAATCTTTGCGTTTTTAAAAGAAGGAGTCGATCATATTCAGAATCCAAACTTCTGAAAGTTCTTTAAATCTGAAATGATTCCATCCTGTTCAATAAATGATCAGTGTTTTTAATTCAGAGTAATTTCCATGTGAATGTGCTTTACTGGAGGCATCCATGTTTGTCAAAGAACACTACTGCCACCTACTGGTTAGTGACGTCACGGTGCGGTATCGGCTGTTGATCAAGTCCCAGTGCTGTATCTGGTGTTTGTCACAACGCGCTATTATCCAAGTCATCTTGAAAACATTCTTCTTCCAAATGTTGGCTACATATTACGGGTTTTTTCTCTGGCCAGAAGTTCGATGGCAAATCCTCCCTCTTCAAGTTGGCGATCCAACGACCAACCCGTCCGTGGAGGATCAGGAATCAGAAAGGTGGAATAACTCTTTTTTTCACTTTTCCCCGATGTATTCCAGCATCCAGCTGCCATGCACGTGGGCATTGTCAGTTTCACTATAGCTCTGGTGAATTTCAATGGTCAAGTCCTCTGGAAATCTTCAATAATTGTTGTTGATTGCAGATGTGTCTAGTAGTTCCCATTGATTTAGCTTGTAAAGCGGGGAGAATGGCGCTAGGCTTACCGCACCGTGACGTCACTGCTGGAAGATGGCAGGAGGGAGGGGCTACTAGATTTGGGCAAAAATGGCCGCTCCCAGACTCAGTGATCATCATGAAAATTATTATTTTTATTCTTTTACTGATTAACACTAAATTCATTCAATCACTATGATCGTATTAATTTTTGGTATAAATAATGATCCATTGGTTATTCCTTGATGACCGAACTTTTCCTATAAAAATGAATTATAAATATTAAATGATAACATTCAGCCCCTTCAATCGATCTTTTGAACTTTTTTAGCAGCTCCACCTGCAGGTGTTTCAGCAGATCTACAAGATCTACGACTTTTCCTTTAAAGTCGTAGGGAAGCGGCTGTTCCAACCGTTGCATTTCCGAATTCTCCAGAGTGGTGCCCGACTTTACACTAGTGATTAAAGTGAATATGATTGGTCGATTATCAAGATGGCGGGATTGTTGTGGCGGAAGGTTCGCAAGCAAGTTTGGTTGTAGCCGTTTTGTGGGAAGCATCTTGCTAACCAGTTAGCATCTTAGTGCTAATTGGTCCCAATGGGAAATTCCATTGGGACCAAGTAGCACTAAATTGGTGACTTAGAAACGACGCTGTCAAGGAACGCTATGGACAGCGGAAACATGCAAGAGGAGGAGAGTTTAGTGTCGGAGGTCGTGGATGAGTCTCCTCCGTCATCCATTTTTTATTTAGAGGAGGAAAGCGGGGACGAAGATGTTGTGGAAGAGGACGCCAGGGCGGCAGAAGCTTGGTTTGGTGTAGAAGGCTTCCAGCCGTACATGTTTGAGCCCTTGCCTCGCAACGCTGCCAGTTCTGTTAGCTCTACGCCTGCCGAAGACACAGACGTCCATCCCCGTGAACACTGGGACGCAACTCAATGGGAAAGGAAAGGATTCTGGTTTCAACCGTTGCGTATATTAGCTGCGACATATGAATCAAGATGCTATGACCGAAAACATTTGATTGACAGATGACCGTTGATATATGATTGGCCGAATTTAGGTGTTCAGGCTGATGTAGAACTAACTGGCCTGCAGAAGATAATGGAAAAAAACACAGATTTTAACACAGGATATGATTTCCCTACGACTTAAAGGAAAAGTTCTTAGAGAAACCAGCTGGTTAAATGGTAACCATAGAAAAAGCAAATTTTGGGACATAAAAGGAATCATTGTGACTCTGCTGCCCCATTAGATTATGGGCCCGCCTCCTGTGCTGTGATTGGTCCAGTATGTAACTGTGATACGGTTTATCAGAGTAAGGAAGATTGAAACAAAATGCACACCACACTTTTCAGATCCACATCTAGAAAACATGTAAATTCTTGTATTATCTGCACATCTTTTTCATTTTTTAATGCTTGTTTCAGTTCATTATCCAGAGCTCATCTCCGCAGCGGTTCCTGCTGGACTCACCCCACATCCGCTCTTCGTCTTAGCCGCCGCTTCATTCAACGTTAGAGTCAAACAGTTCAGATCTATTGAAGGGAAAGGTGAGAGATTATTCGCAGCACTGAGGAAAAATGAAAACAAACGGAAGGAAAGCTAAACTGAAAACGGAACCTTCTGCTTCGCAGGAAGGAATGGCGTTAATCTGAGCCCCCGACGTTCTGACGGAAACTCCCACGTCAACATCTCGGCCACTCAGGGTCACCTGGACAGGCGGAGCAGAGAACAAACAGGAAGGGATCAGTAGAGATAGAAATGTACCGAAACTGTTCAGGTATTTGATTTGGCAACAGCCAGATTCCTCTGACTGGAACCTTAAGAGGAAATACTGATTGAAATAAAAACACAGCTCACCTTTTTGTAATTCATGGAGATAACAGCTCCACAGACTTCCCCCGAGCTCTTCTTGTGTTTATCTGTTAGATGATATGAACTCTGCGGTTAGATCAGTGGTGTGCCAAAGACAATAAACGCCACAGATTGATCTGATTGATCTTTTTTGGTTTTTAAGACCATCAGATGAAAAAAAAGCATGAGCAGGTATGAATCACCTCGAACTGAAGCTGAAATCAGTTTGAACTCTGGAAACTCCATCTCCAGGTGAGTGAGGAACGACTCCTCCACTGGTTCCTTCGTCATGCTGTTAAATTTGATCTGACAGAAAAAAAAAATTTTTAGTTCTCAGGCTCCTCTCCTGTGGAACCAACTACCAGTTTTAGTCCGTGAGGCAGACACCCTGTCTACTTTTAAGGCTAGGCTTAAAACTTTCCTTTTTGATAAAGCTTCTAGTTAGAGTGGCTCAGGTTATCCTGAGCTATCTCTATAGTTCTGCTGCTATAGGCTTAGACTGCTGGAGGACATAGGGACCCCTTTTTCATCATTCTGCTTCATTCTATCTCTATTCTCCCACTCTGCAGAATCTGTTAGTTCAATCTCTAACGTTCTGCTCTCTCTGCTTTTTCCTCATAGTAGCTTCATCTGGTCTGTTCCTGTTTGGCTGTGACTCCATCCTGGAGAGAAATATCAGCTGTGCTGCTGCCATCAACACCTTTGTTTCTAGATGTTGGAGCTTGGCCTGTTTTCCAGTGTAGTCCTGTTTCTCTGACTGTGACTAACTGGATGTGCTCTCTTCATCCTCTGACATGGGAGCTGGCTCGGAGCTCGTCTGCCTGGCTGTGTGTTTCCTGGACGGGGCCGCCTGTGGAGCTGGTTGACAGTTGCCTTTTGTATCTATGCTTCTTTTTCTATGTCTGCTTCTGTCTCCTTGAACCCCAGTGGGCCTCAGCAGATGGCCGCTCACACTGAGCCTGGTTCTGCTGGAGGTTTCTTCCTGTTCAAAGGGAGTTTTTCCTCTCCACTGTCGCTACAAGCATGCTTAGTGTGAGGGATTGCTGAAGAGTCAATGAGTCGATGCAATCAGCTGGTTTTCCTTAGATAGAAAACTTTGAATCAATCTGACTGGATGATCTGGTGAACTGGAAAGTGACCTGAGATGACATGATGTGAATTGGAGCTATAGAAATAAACTGAATAGAATCCCAACGTTTCCAGGAGGAGGTTCTCCAATAACATGATAAATCCACAGTTAGGGTCACTACCTTTACAAAATAGATGGTGAAGTAGACGGGCTGCTGGGCGCTGCGGACATAGTACGCTATGACATCAGAGATGAAGGGGTCCTTGGGTCTCTCTGGATTCATTTCTTGCTGAAAGAGACAGAAATGATAGAAAATGAAGCAAGCGCTCAAAGACTCACAGGGTGGTTCAGAGGAATCTTTCTGAAACTAAACACTAATATTCAGTTTCCTGCTTTCCAGTGACTCGTTAATGGAAGCAGGTAAACAGCCTGAGGAGCGATTTGGGAAGAAAACAAGGGTTAACTAGCAGCACTAGAACCGGCCTGCATAACTACACCAATAACTTTACTGCTAATGTTAAGGATCAATTATCTGCAGCGAGTTCAACCACGGATGTATTTTTGTTGTTTCCATGGAAACATCTCTGAATCCAAGCAGCTGCTGAACTGCAACATAAAATATTAAAATTATGAAATGAATTAAAAACCAGGGCTGATCAATTAACCGGATTAATCGATTACTGAAATAATCGCAGATCTAGTAAAGCATTAATAATTAACTGGAGCATAGAGACATGCCTTTAGCTGACAGAGCGACCCACTTAGAGCAGGAATTATATCAACATTGTGAAAACTATAAAAATAATTTGCATTTAGGATAAAAACAAAATGTTCATCCGTCAATCTGCTCTATTATCCAGAACTCCTCAATTTTGTAAAAAAAATCTTCTTTAAGGAACCTTTGAATATCTGATTATTAATCAATTAATTACAAAAATAATAAAAAGTTTCACTGATTTCTAAAATAACCATTAATTGTAGCTATAATTAAATCAAGAATAAACAGATCACAGCTTTTTCTCCTGCTAAAAAATAAAATACTTTCTCCTTTTTAAAGAAGAATCAATAATTGTTTATAGAAACTTTATTCCTTTATTTTAAAAACAAACAAACAATAGAAAAAGCTGTTTCGGAGAAACAGCAAGTGGGAATGCTTTTGCTGAATGAATAAAGCTGAAATTAACTGCAGAACATATGAAAATGTGATAGGAAGTCATCAGAAACTTCAAACTGCAGAAAACAATTGAATCATCTGAAGATTTTTGTAGGGTAGAATTATTTGGCACTAAAATGGCAGAAAGAAACTCATCTTAAAAGCTGCACAGCCAAACCATACATAATATCAAAAATGTCATTAATATGTGCACTAGAAGGGTCTTAATATAATGTCTATCAAGTTTCTAGAAAAATTTCTAAAGAAATTTTGAAGTGGGGCCACCTACTGCCCAGAAACATGTCAGGCATGTTATGAATTAGCAGCAAACAGAAAAGCTTAATTCCTGTCCAGAAAAAGAGCAAAATTAAGCCAAGGTTCACAGCATAGGCTGAACAATATAAAATTAGCTGAATCAGAAAAAGAATTACAAAGAAAAAATTGAATCTTATCTGGTTGAAGAAAATATGAGTAGCTCAAGGATGGGAAGTAAAATGTTGAGGAAGATGGTATTGAATAAGTATCAAAATTTTGAAATTGTGGAAATGTCAAGACTTGGCACAACAATTTGAAATGATTTAAAATGTGTTGGTTGATCAGCATAAAGAAAACAGTGTCATCCTTAGAGGATTGAAAAT